CTGTTAGGAAGTGGGAAGCAAACATCAGTATCCCATGTCAAAGGTCAATATTTTGTCAACCCAACCAGTCCCTTCTAAATCCTTCCTTTCTGGACTTTGTAGCTGTATAACACCTTCACACTATTTCCTTTTTTTGCTACCAATCTGAGAATAGACATAGCTTTTACAGCTACTGGATGGAGAACATGACTACAGCACATCTGGTCTTCTTTTTACCACCATAAATAACAAAATAAATTAAAAATTCGGAAGTCAAAAATTGTGTTGTGCACATTTATATCATAATTTTTAATAGGATAGACCAAGTCTATCCTAGTCTATCCCAATTTTGGGAGAACATGAAAAGAGTCTGCTACAAAAAAAAACCCCTCTCTGCCTCCATTAGAACAAACTGTAGTATGACTAAAAGCGCTGTAGCAAGAGCCCCCACCAAGGTGGGGGGAGACTGTGACAAACGTTTCACATAGAGGCTGAAGTCAATATCCAACATTACTGTATCTGACTGCTGCCATCAAAAGAGCCTGCCCTAGTTCAACGCTCACACAACCCATTACAACTGTTTTACTCTCTGCATTTCTGTTTTAATTAACCCAGTGTGTGGCAGCTTTAATGATCCAAGAGCTGGCTAATGTGGACAGCAAACAACTCATGAGCTGAATCTTTCTACTTCTCTTTCATGAAAGCTTATTATTGACTTGTTGGCACTGTACATCTGTATTAGCTGCCCCAGCTGTGATGGTAGCATGTCGTATTGTTTCAGTAGTGCACTTTTAACCTTATATGGCCTGTATTTTCTTATTTATCACTTCAGCAGGCTTGATCACCTCAAAAATATCTATATTTGAATAGCTCCTTATGTTTAACAGTGGGTGGCATTTATTTTTGTTCCTTTTCCTTTTGTCTTACTACATCCACACGCACAAATTTGTACTGTGTCACGTGCTCAATCCCATACACAGACTACCCCATAATCAGTGGCTGATTCATTCAGGAGACATCCTGTTTGGGTTTATGTTTACAGGCTAAAGATGAAGCTGCATCCTCCTGGATGTCAAACTATCTGTTCATCCGCAGCAGTCTGACTTCCTTTTATTGTTTTTCCATCTGAGTACGAAAACTGATGTTAAAAAAATCAATTTCCTTTCTGCCCAGCCTATGTGTAAAATGCGCAGCTTGAGACTAGGAAACGGCTTTTTTTTTTTGTAAAGAGAGAAATAAATAAAATGTGCAAACACTGAAAATCACGTTACCAGACTGTGGCTGAGCATCTGCAGCTGTACATGACAATGAGCCCGCTGAGTGATAGCACTGATATTCACAATAAAGATATCCACTCACCCCTCTGTATATTGTATACCATGCTGTCAGCATGTTTTGCTGCCGTGGACATGCACCAGACTCGGAGAGCGAGGATCAGCAAGCCAAAGTTCTTCCGCCGCCTCCAGGTTCGCATCATGCCCGGGTTCGGTAGGGTGAAATGAGGAAAAGCGCTCCGGTCAGACTGCGTTATTAACGTAGCTACCACCAGATGCTTCAACACTGGTGACAGGATGGAGATACGGGTCAAAGCAGTTCACAGTGAGTGTGAGGGAAAAAGAAAAGGGAGGAAAACACTTCACCACCCAGACTCCCAACAAGATGCGGCAGGCTGTCACTCCAAGAAAGAAGCTCTCAGAAACTTTTCCATGCAACACCAAACATATGGTGGACAACGGTGAGGGGGGAAACGAGAGATAAGCGGCAAGTGTTAGCTAAATGTTTCTGGGAAAGGGTGTTGCTGATGTGAGGAGGGTGTTAGAAAGCGACAGCACAGACAGAATGAGAGGAGACTGTTGGAGAGTATAGTGAAGCGGACTTGCCATCCCCTCTAGACCCAGAGCAGCTACAGTTTGCCATGTGCTCTTCACACGCCTCTGGGTCCTAAAGTCCATCTGTGTTTAAGACCGCTGTCGTTCTTTGTTTCCCTTAACCTACAACGGAGTCAAACCTAATCCACTGACCAGTGGTTCTTGAACCTTTTCACAATAGAAACCAAAACGAGTTCACCCCAAAACCAATCATTAACAATTTTAATGAGTTTGCTGCCAGCCCACTGAAATTATCTGATATTTTCGCCCATAAAAATCATATTCATTCAACTAAGTCTATTCTGGACATTCAAGGACATTTTTTTCTTAAGCAGCAATAGCCACTTGTGAAACCTGGAGATAAAAATATAAAATATAAAAAAATATAAAAAATAATTATATTAGCATAATGTTTTATA